TGTACAGGTACACTCAGGAGGTCGAGTTGCCAGGAAGATGCGACGGATTCTTCGGAGAGTTCGCGCGGCAGCCGAAGGAGACGCTCAACGCGTACGTGCTCAGGCACGGCAAGGAGCTGACGAAGCTGCGCGAAGCTGGACTTGAGCTGCCAGATCTACTGGCAGGATGGCATATGATGACGCGGGCGGCGATTCCCCAGTGGCAAGTACCAAACCTCAAGGCGCTGTGCAACAACAGGTTGACGGTGCAGGTGGTCACGGAGAGTCTGAAGACGATGTTCGGAGGCGATAGCGTGGCGCACAAGAAGGACATCGATCGCGTGAGGAGTACTTATCACGGACGAGTCAGTCGAGAGGAAGGCTACTGGATGGAAGACTACTATGAAGAAGATGATGAGGCTTACTATGAGGACGAGTACGACCCGCACGAGGAATACCAAGAAGATGACGAGTGGTACGAGGAAGACGAGGAAGTGCCGGAGGATCTCGAGAACGCCTACGAGGCTACCGAGGAGGCCTACGCAGCGTATGCGGAGGCGCGAGCTAAGATGAACGAATTGGCGAAGTCCCGAGGGTTCTACCCCGTGGTGGCGCTGATCGACGAGAAGCGTGGACTACCCCCCCCAAGAGCTGGAAATGCCAGGCCGCCAAAAGGAAGAGGACGCAGCAGCAGTGGCAAAGCGAGAGGTGCGCAGAAGGGCAAGCAGAAAGGACGATACGGTGGACGAGCACCCTTCGGCGGTGGCAAGGGCGGCAAGCATTTCGACGGCAGCCCGAAGACGACGCAGACGGGATCCACGCAGCAACACGGACCAAGGTTCAAGCGGCGACGAGATGGAGCACCCACCAAGCACGACGAGGACGCGAAGATGCTGTACGAGATCGGCACGGACAATAAGTTCACGGAGATCGCTCCAAGCATGGAGACGGCGCACGGATTACAACTCGAAGAAGTGAGTTTGGCTACGGGCAAAGGAGTTGGCGACAGTGGAGCTACGAAGCCAGTCATGAGACTCGACGAATGGCCGAAGTGGCGCAAGAAGCTGACGGACATGGGCATGGCCGACCAGATCACGACGCAGCGGTGCCAGAAGACATTCCGGTTCGGCAACGACGCTACAGCGACGGCAAAGCAGATGGTTACGTTCCCAGTCTGGGTTCGCAAGACGAAGCGCGAGATCACGGTCTACCTGGTGCCGGGCAAAGTTTCTCTTTTGGTGGCTCGGCCGTGTCTCGAAGAATGGGGCATCGTGGTGGACTACCGCAACAAGAAGGCGATGTACCTGGACGAAGTACCCCAGACATGGAGCGACATCGAGACAAACGAGAAAGGCCACATGATCCTGGACCTTTTGAGTTTCCCGGAAGACGCGCTGGAGATCAAAGAGGAGTCTAGCTCGACGGACGCCGACACGGACGGAGATCACGAGGTCAAGAGCGAAGAGGAGATAGACTTCTACGTGACCAGCACGCATGGCGAGGAGAAGGAGGACGCGGAGACGACGAACTTCGACGCCAAGCAGCTGAAGGACTGGTTTACGAAGGTTAACAGGACGCTCGACGAGAAACCTAAAGTTAAACGCAAGTTTTGGGAGATCTTTGTCAATAAGGGACGTATTTCACAGTATGTCGAGCAGCATGGCGACTTCAAGACGGACAAGTATACGTTGGACACTGGCTGGGATTTTACGAGGAAGTCACATCGCGAAGCGTTCTTTGAAAGACTACGACGTGAGAGGCCAGAGGAAGTTTGGATTTCCCCGCCATGTACGCTGTGGTCATCGATCAACACGCTGAACGACGCGAGTAAGGACAACAGATATCGGCAGCAGCGCAGACGAGAGCGAGAGAAGCAAAAGATAGAGTTTCTGAAGTTCAGCCGAGACATCTACGACGAGCAGCAGAAGAACGAGAGGAACGCGCATTTGGAGCATCCCAGATACGCGACGTCGTGGAGCGAGGACGTCTGGCAGGACATGGAAGGATACGACACGTTCGTGGACCAGTGCGCGTACGGGCTGAAGGCGCTGGACCGCGACGGGCGCAGGATCGGACCGATCAAGAAGCCCACGAACGTGCGGACGACCAAGTACAAGATGCACGAGGGACTTTGGAGGCGTTGCAGCTGTAAGGAGAAACACGTTATGCTGGAAGGAGCTCACAACAGGCGCGGAGTGGAGAACTACCCGAGGAGTATGGCGTTTCAGGCGGCAATCTGCATCGTGGACGACCCGCAGAACGAGTCAAGCTACGCCGTAGAGGAGATGACGCAAGAGGAGTTTGACAAGATCGAGTACAAGGAAGTTTGGAAGAATTTACTTGAGAAGTTCACGCTCGACGAGGTCAAGTGGGTTGAGAAGGTGCACGTGCAGATGGGTCACCCATCGAGTGAAGCGTTGGCGGCAGCACTCAAGGAGATGAACGCGGATGATCGTTTGGTAAGCTGCGCGCGGATTTATATTTGTGAGATATGCTTGAAACGGCAGAGGCCTAAACCAGTACGGATCGCCAGGATTCCAAAAGATAGAGGTTTCAACGACACGATCGACATAGATACTTTTCACGTGAAGTGGAACGACAAGCACAAGCTGATTTTTACGATTATGGACGAGAGCTCGCGATACGAGGTCGACACGGTGGTGCCAGACGAAAAAGCGAAGACCGAGATAAAGGCGATCGAGAAAAACTGGATCAATTGGGCTGGTGTGCCAGTGCGTATTCGGGCTGATCAAAGTGGTGCGCATGTGAGTGAGGAGTTTTCGGAGTGGTGCGACACGCGGCAGATAAAATTGCAGCTCATACCGAGGGACGCTCATCATCGACTCGGGATCCTTGAAAGGAATCACCAAGTACGACGAGAGCAGATCGCGAAGTATCACGAGGACCGACCAGACGACAGCCTGAAGGTTACGGTGCGAGTGACGTGCGACATGAGGAATCGGCTACGCAACGTTCGAGGGTTTACTCCAGCGCAGCGTGCGCTTGGACGGCAGCCCAGAGATCTGGGCAACATGGCGGACGAGCCGACGACGATGGGCGATCTTGGAGAGCACGACGAGGGATTCTACCTGAACCTGGGTCGCAGGCGAGACGCGGCCAAGGCCTACTTCGCGGCGAATATGTCGAGGGCAGTGCGGGAGGCTTTGGCGGCTCGCAACAGACCCTTAGCGAAGGAGTTCCAGATCGGCGAGTACGTCTACTTCTGGAGGCGCGACAAGGGCGAGAGCGACTTGATCAAGAGTTATTGGAAGGGACCGGCGATGGTGACGCAGGTCGAGTACACGGACGACCCCGACAAGCTGAGGCAGTCGGTCATCTGGTGCGTGCATAACAACACGCTGCTCAGGACGACGCACGAGTTGCTGAGGCCAGAGCTACCAGAGGAGCGACGACAACGCGAGGAAGCAGATGATGATTTCGGTCTACCCTTGTCGACGGCGGAGAGATTGCTCAAGAAGCTGAAGAGCACGACCGGCTCCATCAAGTACAAGGATTGCGTTGGCGACGCGCTCGGTGACCCAGAAGACCACGTAGACGACGGACGGCCCGAGGACATGGACATGGACGCTACAGGCGTGGACACTGATGGTAAGGTGGAGGAGCCAGTCGAGGAGCATGCTCATCGTGACGAAAGGACGAGGAGCAGCGAAGAAGCCGAGCCAGCCGAGCGCGAGGTGAAGGAAGAGCAGCCGCAGCCAGCGGCGGCCGAGTCTCGACCCGAACCCGATCTACCGGAAGCCGATGGCGGGCGAGAACCTCATCTCGAGGCTTCACGCCAAGAGAAAGAAGAGGACGCTAAACCGGAGGCCATAGTGGAGAAGCGGAAGATGGATGACAGGGACGAGTTACTGGAGAGCATTAATGCGGCAAGACGCCTCGACGGGCTCAAACCGTTGGCTAAGAGACCAAGGATAACACCGATGGAGACGGAGAACATCAAGACGGACACAGGCGACGACGAGCTGCTACTGCTGTACGAGGACGAGGAGATGATCTACCTCACGAACGCGGCGAAGCGCGACGCGGTGGTGGAGGCCAGGCTCACGCCAGACGAGAAGGTGCAGTTCGACGAGGCCAAGACCAAGGCATTGCTACCCTGGATCGAGAACCAGGCGTGGCAGGCGGTGAACGAGGCGACGGCGGGAGCTGGCGAAGTGTGTCCGATGAGGTTTCTGCTGAAGTGGAAGATGAAGGACGGAGTTCGAGAGGCAAATGCGCGAGTGATTCTTCAGGGATTTCACTTGGAGGAGGTGACGAGCACTAACGTGGAGAAGGCAAGCCCTACTCTGACGAGGCTCGCGAGGTACCTCATCCTGCTCATCTTGTGCCAGCAGTCGTGGAAGATGGTGGCAGCCGACGTGAAGAGCGCATTCCTCCAGGCCAAAGACATTCGTGAGCAGGGTGTGCGCATTTTCAGCAGACCGACGAAGGACATCCGAAGGAGGTTGGCGAAGATGATGGGCCTAAAGGACGACGAGATATTGCAGATGCTCAAGCCAGCTTTCGGAGATGTTCGCGCTCCCAGGCAGTGGAATCAGACGATCACGGAGGCCATGATCGAGATCGGATTTCTTCAACACCAGCTGGATCGCTGCTGTTTTCTGTCGTACCGCATCGCGGCCGACGGTGACGACCCCTTTCTGGTGTGGAGCGCAGACGACGGCCAGAGCTACGTACTGGACGGTATTTTGGGTTTACACGTGGACGACTTCATCGGTGGCGGCGAGAACTTGGAGTGCGAGGCCGACCTGACCGACAAGCAGGCCTACGAGGGCACGTTCCTAGACAGGGTGCAGACTCTCAGCAGGCGCTTTAAGTTCGGCAAGTGGGAGTTTCAGAACGGTATCGTTTTCTGTGGTATGGAGACCACGCAGTCGCAGTCAAGGAACGAGATAGAGGTCAAGGCCGAGCAGTACATCCACAAGGTGAAGCCGATTAGCATCGAGAAGGTACGCCGCCAGCACCCGGACGATTTGTGTTGGCTTCGCCAAGGGCTATGAAGGGACGCGTGGATATTTTTTCCTTTTCAAATTTCATTTTAGTGGTCTCGTGCCGAACAGCGACAGATCTTATTGAACTGATCTGCTCAACAAAAAAAACAAGCGCGCACAAAATCCACTGCGGATGCCCTCAGAGGAAAACGAACAATGGAATGCTGCATAAGCGGCGCCCGCGTTCCGCCCGCAGTCCAACTGCAGACAAAACCACAAACCAGCAGGTCCCGAGAAGGATTGCAAGCAGGCCCTAGGGTCCCAAGACAGGCTTTGTAGGGGTCCAATACAACTTGCAGACCTGTTTCCTCGCATATGTTCTGACGCGTTTCGGCCGTGGTCCGCGGGATTCTACTGTTCATGCGCCTTTTTGCCTTCATTTCCGACGCCTCGCGTGTTTCCGCCAGCCAAGGCAAAAGCAATCGCCAGGCGAGTTGCCTCGATCAGCATGTGTAGCAGCATGCGGCGCCGCAGCGAACCGAATGCGTTTTCACTGGTTCTGTACGGGAGGAGGAAGAGGAGGTGGAGGAAGCGACGGAACAAATATGGTGGCGAAGGACCAGTAGTAACGAAAGAAGAGGAACAGCAGAAGGATGGACGCGTGCTGGAGGAAACAGCAACATGCTAGAGCATCAGAAGGTCGGAAGGATGATGAGGGACCTGAGGGGGGGAGGAGGGCTACGAGGAGCCAGGGGGAGGTAGCAACCGCATTGGTGATCCGCGCAGAACACCAGTGCGCCGCATCCTTTCGTAAACGAGGATGCAGGAATGTGCCAGATGGGGAGGCGGGGGGAGCATGGGGGAGGTAGGAGGACATGGGGGTAAGAACGCTCAGGACGAAGCAGTTCCAGAGACGGTGCCCAGGCAAATTGTGTTCATCAGAAACGTGTGCCAGCATGGTGCTCAACCAAGAGGGCGACGCTGTTTACGTTAGAAACGTGAGGACGGCGCAGGAGGAATCGGAGGATTAACAGCAGCGGAGGAGGAGGACAAGGAAGAGGATGACGAGGAAACGGAGGAGGGGCGGGATGAGGACGAGGAGTAGGAAAAGGAAGGATGGGAGAGAAAAAGTCACGACGACGGCCAGAATCAATCATGGAGGATTTTGTTTGTTTTTCGCACACGGCTCTTGTTAGAAGCCCCTTGGAGTGATTTGTGGGCCATTGTGGAGCTAATTTGGAGCCATTTTGGGAGAGCCTACGGGGTCCTCTTGAGGCTGTTTCGGGCCTCCTTGAGATCCTCTTCGGGGTCTCGTGGGCCCGTCTTGGAGGCCTTGGGGGCCCTCTCGGGGCCATCTTGGAAACGCCGTCAGTCAAAGAGTACGGGGGGAGGGTCCTTGCAGCGTCCCCTCTCTGGAGCCGCCCACGTCGCCTCTTGGCGCTCTCTTGGGACGTTCTTCGGCTGCTCTTGAGCGCTCTCGGCGCCGTCTTGGGGCCTGTCGGGTTCTTCTGGAGGGCCATCTCAGGCCAGCGTGGCCATCTTGAGGCCTCAAGAGCCCATGGAAAACGAAAAGGCGGCGAGACATAACGCATAGCACGCAATGGTGTTCACTTTTTTTGTCTTGGAGGCCTCCTTGGAGAGCTCGAAGGGCACGCGGGGCCGTCTTGAAGCGGTCTTGACGACTCAGAGGCATGTTGGAGGCTCTTCGGAATCGTCCTGGGATGCATTGAGCGATATTGGAGGCGTATCTGGGCTCCTTGCAGCCATCTCGGAGACATTTTGGGTCGTATTGGGCGCTCCAACGACCCGCGGCTACCTTCCCGCGCAGGAAGGATTGGGCGGGGAAATGGGGAACCGTGTCTATGAAGGGGAAAGGTGGGCTTGGATGAATTACTTCGTCACGCCGCTCACGCTTAAAGGGGTGCTGGGATTCCTGTCTCCCTCCGGCCCTCTCCTGCGGCGTGCCCCTCCACTCCCTGCGACTTCTCCCCCCCCCCCGCCCTCCTTCCAGGCTCCGCGCGCGGCCTAGTGAAAACTTCGGGGAGAAAAACAAAAACTCGTTTTGAATACCTCTCCGAATTCTTGGTGGATTTTTCCTTGGGCGCGCGCATCGAAAAAACACGCGCGGAAAAATCCGGGGGACACCCGGAAAAATTCACGCGGTTTCCGGGGCAAATTCACATTTGGATTTGGAAAAATCCGGGCAGAATTCACTCGAGAATCCGGGATAGTATTCCCAGGCGGCCGTGGAAAAATCCCACCAGCCATGCAGAGCGTGGGTGGTGGTTTAACGGGCTAGCTTATCCGCGCGTTTCTCCCTGGCAGGGACGGGCCCCCCCCCGCCCCCCCCTGGCAGGGACGTGGACAGAGAGTGACCGCGGGGCGGTGGAGTGCCCGAAATGGCCGAAGATGGCTCCAAAGGAACCGCAGGCAACCCAAGAAGGATTCCGAGATCGCTCCAGATACTTGCAGATGGTACAATTTTGCTTCCAATGCGCCTCCAAGCCCCCTCAAGACCGCTTCGTGACAGCCCACAATTTGTCTTTCGAGCTCTTGAGGGAGGCCTCCAACAGGTTCAACTCCTTTACAATCACTGTGCGCTTCAATGTGTTCCTTCTCGCCTTTTTGCTTTCCGTAGTTTCTAGAGGCCTCGAGATGGCTGCGAGTTGGTTTGAACTTGCTTTGAGAGGGGGCCATCAGGGCCCAAGTCGGCTCCAAGAGCACCAAAGTTGGGCCCAAAACGCTTCAAGGGCGTCGCAAGAGGGCCGCATTTGGCGACTGGGGGGCTCGAGAAGGAATGGGGCGTTGCTAGGGCCCCACTTCTTTGACCGACGGCTTCAAGATGGCCCCAGGAGGACCCCCAAGGCTTCCAAGAGGGACCCAGGAGATCCCCGAGACGACCCGAAGAGGGCCCCATGGGGCTCCAAGACAGCCGCCAAAGGCAGCCATAATTGCCCTAAGAGAGCGCCGCGGCGGCACTGATATGACGACGTTGATGGGGCGTCCCGCAGGCACCTAAAGCGAACGACTCGAGATCCTCGATGATTGATGCCCGTCGTCGTCAGCGTGTTTTTTTCTCTCTATCCTTTATCTTTCCCTTCCTTGTCCTCCTCCTCCTCGTCCCTCTTCTGTGACCTCCTCCTTTTTTCTGCTCCCTCCCCGTTCCTGTGCATCTTCCGATTAATTACTCCTGCGCCCTTTTCTTTTCCCTAATGTAACGGTTGTCCTCGTTTTTTTCTTGCGCTGCACGTTGCTTCACTTCGCTGTCATGCTTAGCGCAACTTTCTTGGGATTCGAGTCTGCAAATGCTTTCTTCTGCATGTTCTTGCCCCTCCTATTTCCCCCTACTTCCTCCTGCTCCTTGATCCCCCCACCTCTTCCTACACCCTCGCTGGTGAGGGCGCGCGGCGCACGCGCGTTCCGCACGGATCACTGGTGCGCCTTTTGCCTCCCTCAGGCTTCTTGTGCTTCTTCCTACCTCCCCCAAGCTCCTCTTCCGTGTTCCTACCTGCTCATGCTCTTGCGCGTTTCCAGTCTTTCCTATCACCATACTCCCTCTCTTCACCGTGTTCATTATGATTTCCATTTCCGCCCTCCTCTCCTTTGCTCCGCTTCCTGCACCTCATCATCCGCGAATGCGGATGCGGCTCGCTATTTTCGCCGCTTGCCCGATTACCCGGCCTTGATCAGGGCGACTCGCCTTGCGGTTGTTCATGGATTGGCTCGTGAGGATTTGAGCAACGCGTCAATGACTTCACCGGGCGTCTAGGTGTTATTGTTGGCGCCTGGGCGTTGCCGCTGGGGTTTGCCACGGGCCAGTATGATTTACAATTGCAAGCGGCGCGTTGGCAGGCATTCGCCTTCCTGGAGACATCTGCCTGGTTCCGCAGTGACCTTCTTTCGCATTGCTCTTGTTTCTTTGCCTCCAGTTTGCGGTTGTATGTTTGTAGCCCTTGGCTGAGCTCCATCAGACGGCTATAATTCCGCTGCCCTCGCTCGATGTATGACCGTCCCCGTACGATGAGGAAGAATCAAGGGCACTGAAGACATTCGAAATTCGCTGGCCACGCGGCATTCACACGAACGCCCGAGCCACATGATCGATTGACGTGCGCATATCAGAAAAAAAGGAAAATAAACATGAAAAACGAAGGCGCCAATCCACGCTGAATTCACTCTTAGCACCGGCGAAACCAACAATGCCCCACGATCTCCCAGCAGGGCAATCCCGCCAGCACGGTCACCTAAAGTGGTGCGATACGCTTGCACACGCTTGACATGCTGGATACCTTCTGCCCAGGGCGGCAAGGTCGCCTTCGTCGCCGTGCGTCTCTTGAAAAGCTACAGTATGTGAGCGCCCGCTGAGGGCCGAGAGAGGGTGGAAAACTTGGCGGGTGAAATTACGAGGACGTTGCGAAGTACCAATCTGCGCGCTGCGGATAATCTCGCAGAAGCTGTCGGAGAGGATGGGAGAGAGCATCGACTGCAACGCAGGAGGCGCTGGCAAGCAACTGGGAAAACATATTGGTATTGCAAAGGCTTCGCAGATCCCCGAGCGGCTTCACAAACTTGTGCAACTTTAGACGTCCAATCAATTTCCTCATTGGCTTGCTCCTCAAGCGTCTTTATTTCGCCGATCCCTTCCATACGAGGGAAGATCGCGCAATTGTCCGCGACATCGCATTGAGCTTGGACGGGGGCGGACGGATTCGGAAGTGATGAAGTGAAACTGCTAGTGGAAGCCGTTTGATTCCAGCTCATTGCAAGCACCCAATTAGCCCTTGGAAACGATATGTGTCGCAATGGGCTGGCTCAGCGTGCCGCGGATGCGCTGCTTGACTCTGACTGCCTCGGGAAGGTGGCCTCGAATTTTGCCAGGGTGGATGACGCTGGTACGAGGGTCACGCAAATCGATCGGATGTTCGCGAATATGGGCTGCAAGCTCCTAGTCGTCAGCCTCACTCTTGAAGCGCAGACTGTGTGACTGGCTGACTCTGGCGAACTGAGCCTCGACTGGTGACTGCGGGGTGGACGGTGGCGATGGCAAGATGATCTCGTTGAGGTACTGC